AGTGGGGAGGGAGAGGGGGAGTTGGGGGTGGGGAGATGAAGAGGGTTGCAACCAGACAGGACTAACCTAGCAACAGATCGAAGGAGGATTCGGCATGTTCTAATTTGTTTGGCCCAGATTGTGATTGGTTGGAGAAGACTGAACCAATTTATTGCATTACATAAGTATGAAAGTAAGTAGGAAAGTGCTTGATCAGATAATGCACTTCTCATGATTTTCTTAATCAACGCTTTAATTGGCTATTTATATTCCGGGATCTACATTATCTATTTAATGACAAAGTTGTGATTTCATGCTTCTTATCTCAACTATTTCCGTTTATTCTTAGATTTTTAATATTGTATTTAGAAAATCAATACCATTGTACATTTCGTTCATAAATTATGTTTCCATAAGTAAATTTATAAAGTGATGTGTATTTCCTTCATTCTTTATTTATTCTTCAACCGCACCTCTCACCATACACCTGGAACATCTTTTGTAATTATGTATGACAGAGTCCAATTAAGGCACATATTATTATTTAATAGATTGGTATTTAAACTATTGTAGATGCAGCATTAGTTCGCAGGCATGTAGTGAATCTAGTGAATCAGGGCCATTAACGACGTATGTGCCATAATTGAGAATTGATTCAACGACAATTTCACTAAGTCTTGTCGCTACCTCATCTAATAGCTGTGGAGAAGTGAAATTGACCTTTGGAGTTGTTATCTTACAGCTTTGGCAAGAATGGAAGTGACAGCTTCAGCGACTTCTCAGTTTGTCTTGATTTGCTTCCAAAGGTGGTTCAAGTTGTTAAGTAATTCATATCTGCGGTCACTCCGAAGTACATCCAAAAGGTTTGATCAATATCCTTTTGCTTATTTCTCTTCGCTAGACTTTAGTTGAGAGCACACTAGCAGCACTGAATTAATTAACGCAAATAGTTGTCATATTAATATGGATTATTGGCTATAGCGTTAAATATGTACTGTTATACTCTTTGCATAATTAGTAAATTATATTAAAAGATTCACTCAGACTTATGATTAAGGTCTAACTTTGCCCAATTTATTTCATTATTATTAGCGAGTTGGACTTTGTTACAGTGATCTTCTAAGTAGTGCATTTGTGTTTTGATAATTTATCTTCAATCAAAAACTGCTAATGTGGAGGAAGGCAATGTCTTTTTCCTAATTTTTCTACAACTTCAACTCAATTAAAAAAGTAACAAATGAAAACGAAGATTTGAGATAGAAATAACTTTAGTCAACGTCAATATTTGATTTGAGAAGTGTTTTGCTTTAAGATGACGTCATAGATAGGTAGTGACTACATATTATTATATTTTTTACGTTTTCTGAACCGAATTCAACAACTTTCAACGAAAATAATTTAAGATAATATTTTTACCGCAAGTATTGAATTTTTTATTCATACCTGATCAATATAAGCGTCACTGAAAGGCAACTAACTAGCACATTCAAAATACTGCCAGATTTTAGATTTTAGATATTTTCCTTTAGTATTTTACGGCTTTAGTATTTTAAAGGTTTTTAATACAAATAACGGATCGTTTTACAAGAATCATAGTGACAAATATAAAATTTTCAAGAATTTAATACATTATAAGTCTTTTAAATAAATGGGCTTTAAATCAAAGGAATGAATTTTGCTTTATCTGCAACCAAATGCTAAATTTATTCAATCAATGCAGTAAAACGGTTTGATCAATATTCTTTTGTTTATTTCTCTTAGCTGGAACTTGCTTGACTTTAGTTTTCTATGCCCTTTGGTCCAAACTTCTTCCGTGTTCGGCTCTTTCAACCGCAATTTGAGTTGGCCTTAATTAGATTAGACCTCTTCCTAAACGGCGTTTCCACTATTCAACATCCATTTACACTTCATGGTGTTGTTAGATGCAATAATGAAATGTTTTGTTTAAGACGCAAGTATTTTTATCAACCATTTGAAGGCGGTTATTTCTTCCCTGCACTAAAAGTGCTTGAAGGGCTGTGAAAGAAAGTAACGATTCGTTACCATTCCAACCATATTTTGATCATATGCTGGAAGTAGTTGTTGCTGCCTCAACTAACTTGAAAGCTCAACTTAAAGTGACCTTGATATTGAAGTACGTACATACACACCCCTTTATTTGCCAGTATTTTCACTGCCTATACTGGACTTTCTTAGCAAACCTTCCACAGTCCATCTCGGTAGAAATTTAATTTAACCTTTGATGGGCCCAATTTTTCCAGATCCCACTTTTTTGAGCTATTTCTCCTCCTCCATGAAATCGTTTGTTGGATTTGTTGAAAAATTCAGTTCAACGTTAGTTTACTACTCTCTTCCGTGTCAAACAGGAGCGATTCTTTCATGAATCTTCGGTGAACATATTCATCAACACAGTGTACTGGTAAGTAAAGTTGACTTTAGACGGACTTTAAAAAATGATTTGATTTTTTGTTTATGAAACAAGGTTTTTCAGCACACTGCCAATTTCATTCGTCTACATAATTTTGGTCTTAATTAAATCAAAATTGCGCATCATGCATTTGAAAGAGGCTGGATACCTGTAGCTTTTGTTATAGTGTTGCCTGTTGCTCCAGTGTCTCAGAAAATTTTGTCCTAACAGCCTCTGAGACCATCGGGATCTAATCTATATTTTATTTCATCTGTTAGACGACATTCCCCTCTGAATAGTCTACCAAGTCACTAGATTTAAAATAAAAGAAGACGAATAGTGTATTTTGTGGGTTGAATTGAAAGTCTTGCTGATTTTATTCCTTTTAAAGTTCACTTGTGTAAATGAACGCTTGTTGTTTAAAAATCTCGTCTTAGAAAGATAAACAAAATTGACAACGAACTCGAATACCCCTTTTTGCTCCCTATTTTGAAACTCCACGCACACACACCCCCATTTCCAACTCATTAAAGCAAAAACTTCTTTCTCTATTGCTCGCCTTCAAATTTGTAGCTGTTGAAACTGACATATCCGCTTCTCTTGTAGCTCCCAAGGAATCCACAGCAAGTCACTTCCGTTTAGCGCAATGAAGAAAAACAAGCAGACCTGAAGTGATTTTGTTAAGTTAACTTATTTTTTAATATTTCACACACAAGACTGCGTAAAAGAAGTTGATTAGGCCAAAACGATCATAGGAATGTCATGTTTGGGAGTTTTCCAATTTCGTCTGAAGTCATTAATTATCACGACGGATCGGAAAATTTGGAGGAGAATGAGGAGAGAGTTTTTGCTTGTGAAAAAGATGTTTGAGTAGCTGTTAACCTTGAAAAGCATTATAAGTGTAAGTCGGAGGGCGAGAAAGGGTACATCTTGAAGGATAAGAGACATGAAAATTGCCCAGATTTCGGTTCCAAACCAGAGTTGGGCACAGCCCGACACCCCGTCATCCGCAAGGTCACCTGGACAACATGCGCAAAAAGGGCGTCGCTTTGGGGGTGGATGCTGGTCATCATCCACAAACTGAGGCATTTCCACCACCACCGAGTCGTTCAAAGTGGTGCTTCTAGACATCGAATGCGTTTGAATTGGAAGCGAAGAATGCGCGCTCTTTTTGCTCTCCAGAACAGCCGTTTTATTGAAGCAAAATTGGAATAGAGAAGCTTGCCAAAGACAGAGGATGCTGATTTTGAGGGAAGTATTCATGCGAACAGCTTCCTCATTGAAAGCCTCAAAGAGTTCCAGAATATCGGCAGCGTTGCCAATATTTATAAGCAGTAGTTGTGATAGCTGATCTCGGGTAATGCCAAATCGAGGAAGAAGGAATCTCCCGACAATCACGGTCAGCAAAAGCAGTTGCTCCATCATTCGTATGCGCATTGTTGGCGGATAATTTTGCAGGGTGACGGCCTTGTAAGATCAAACAATAATAATCAATGTAGCTCATTTGAAATGCAATAGATATTACTCAATACATATATATATATATATATATATATATATATATTACAAAGACTATATTTAAAAGTATCAATTCTAGTAATTTAATTAACTGCGGAGATGAATTTGAAAAAAGTTGTATGGTAGTAATTGATCAAATCTTTAATTAAATTCTATGTGTGCATACAGTTTAATTAATATAATTTAATGTACAAAATTATTAACGGCAACTCTAAATACATGATTTTGATTATATTTAGCTCAAAAATGAATTTCGCGTTGGGAAATTTTGAGATTTGGCGAACATAAATGAAATAGAAGACAAACAATTTTTTTAAAATTTACCTGAATGATACTTTCAGGATTTGTTGATGCATTCAAACGCTGAAAAGCAAATAAAGAAAATACTTAGTTACTTAAATCATATGAAATACGCAGCTCTTGGCAATTCGAGTATAGTCAGTTGTGATGAATGCTCAAGTGTTGATTTGCTAATAATGGGCATTGCAAAAGTACTTATTCGTTGAATGAAAAGGTGCCCCATTATTTTATTAATAATGATGAATTAAGAATTGGAATGAAAAATTCAAGGGATCAAGCAAAAATATCTCCACATGCCTCTTCGACATGCCGCTTAATTCGAGTTCTCAAGTTCTCCACTGAAGTACTCGTTGAAATGTTTTCTCTTGATGCCACTGCGTTCAAATAGTTCTCCACGCTATCTCCCATTATCACGAGATTTTCCTAAAACAATTTGAAGATACTACTCACAAAACTAATATATAATAAATAAAAATTCAAGTATTAGAGCAAAAAAATGGATAGTCATTGGGTATATAAGTTAAAATGACGCTTCTAATTCATATAATTCCCAACACTACTTAAAAGGTACCATCTACAATTCAACATAAGAAACCTTTCCAAGTTTAAATTTCAGGTTCCAATCGTTTTATAGCATTTGAAAAGACAAACAGATTACAGGAGATTTCAGATTTAGAAATTGCCTCGTCTACGTTTAAGATTAAGTAAGCACAAAATCCCACAATTTTATCGCATTTTAAGTATGACAGAATTGGATGAAATGCCCCACTTTCAAAATATTTCTTTTCATTGAAAGCACCGATGTTTCGCCATGACTAACGCAACTTAGCCGAATAACTCGGACCATTAATCCACAGTTCACTAAAGTGCTCATTAATAAAGAGGAACTCTAATGCGTACTTTGCGTTCAATATTAATGAAGATGAACTCTTAAAATATGTGCATACCCCGGGTTCGTTATAGATGAGACCGGCATCTTCCCAGGGGTTGTTGACCACGTTAGAATCGAGAGCACCCGGACCATTGATGACAGCCTCAGTGTAATCATTGAGCGTTTGAAGATGATGCAACTCTGTGATCCAAATTGGTGGGCAGGCGCAGAGTAGATAAGCCAACAGACATTTAGTAAACCTTGAAAAAAAAAACCAATTAGCGAACATGTAAGAAGACTTTTAACGAATACATAAAAGTAAACAATTAAAATCTACTTAACTTTGCTCATTAAGCCTGTATCAGTAAAATAGCAGTAAAATAGCTTTTGGAAAAAAGCGGACAAAATGCAAATCACCTTTTATCTTCGCAGGAAATGTATTGGGAAGAAGTTCTGCTTCCTCTCATGTTTTGTTATGAATTTCTTTGTTTAACTGAATAAAGAACCAATTTCAAACCAAGTAACCAAAGAAAATTCTAAAAAAAGATACCAAACTGAAGTATCAGAGAAATGTCCTTACTTTAATTGGAATAACAGCTAATATATAGACAAGCGCACTTTAATAAGAAAAGCCTTAATCAAAAGTGTTATTGAATTAATTTAATTATATTTGGATGGAATTATAATTGACTGTCGTTTTATAAGGTTATTTAAAAGTTTTCTTAAAGTATCATGGGGTGTGCGATAGACTTACCTCCTCGTGGTGCACCCTGGGCAACGTATACTCATGTGGCAAAAAAGTCTATAAACCGGTAGTTGACTTCTGACTTCAAACTAACGTCACCCCACTGCATGTCATATTCGAATATTTCACAGTACTCACCTTACCTTTGTTCTACCTTTGTGCCTGTCGCTTTTACATCTTTGAAACACTCTTCTCTTCCCTCCCCCCCCCCTCTCGACTTTTTTCCTCTTTGATGTTCCTTCCCCTCTGTGAAACCTGAAGTCAACTAAGGGGCTAATGATAACTATCAAAACGCCTGCCATTTGATTTAAATTAAACTTAAAGTATCATTTTAATTAGTTTCAGGCAATTTATTTTTTCGGATAATTCGTACCGAATGACGCAACGTAATCATCAACAATAATTTAAATAAATTACAGGAATTATGCTGTTTGAAAATTGAAACTTAAAAACTCACTACAATTTATGATTTCATTCGATTAGTAAAATTTGCTAATTTTGGCAAACGCAAATATTTAATTCTATTTAAACGTAATTTCAAATGACTTTTTTTTCAAACTGGACTTATTTACGCATTGTTTGCAATGCATTTAAATTGTCGCATTTCATAAAATTTTCGATTATCACAAAATCCAATAAAAAATGGAATTAAGCTTTACTTTGAGGATAGTTTTTCAGCAAGATATTTTTCAAAAAAGAGATTAAAACTTTTAAAGCATCAATTTTTTTCTCAATAGTGCAAAGTACAAAGATAATGAAAAGCAAGGTTTTATAAAATTGTGAAAATCGACGAATGTGTGCATTTACAATTCAATGACTTTAAAAATTAAGTAACGAATAAAATATTCATTTTCCAATTTTTTTAATTTATCTCAAGCTTTGCAAAAAGTAATATAATTTTTAATTAGCAACAAGGAAATATTTTAAAATTGTTAAATTGGTGTAAGAAATACATTACAAAATATGCTCAGCGTTTGAGAATTTATTTGAATAACCGGAAGATAAAATTTTATTTATTTAAATCAAATTAAAAATATGCAAAACATTTTTTTAAAATGTATCGCCAAGAGTTGAATTTATCATGAACAACTTGGGGTTAAAAAAAGGCGAAGCTGATGTTATGAGATGTTGGTGTACACAAATTTTCAATCGATTTTCCACTTCCTTTTAGAATGGTTTAATTTTTTAATAGACAAATTATGCATGCAGAAAGGTTGATATAAAAAATAACATCAATCAATTTTAATTATATATAATTAAGTTACTCAAATCTTCTATCAAAGTGGCCCTTTTCAAACAGAGGTTTTTGGGGAGTAAGTTGGACAATGACACTTACCATTTCTCAGTCTTGTCAAAGGCGACTTTGGGCATAATGACGAGTCGTATGGAGTAGCAGAGATCAGCCATAAGGGGGAGCATTAGGAAGCAAAGCAGCCAATAGATGCTCTGGTTCTTCTCTGTCACCACGGTTACAATGAGACTCAAGGTCAAGGCAAGGAATACAAATCTAACAAGGATAGCTCGCAATGCAATTAGGAGCTGTAGGAAAGTCATCCATCCGCGGAAACACACTCGAAGAAAACATCCAGCTGATGAGTCTGCAACCACGGCTTGACTGTACTTGTAGCCCAAAAAACTCATTCCAGATGGACGTCTTGAGAAAGTGGAGAATTTACATGCGGTTTCTGTATTGTTACTGGAACAGTTAGAAGTAATTTTGAATTTTATTGGCTGGAGACTGATAACAGAATTTGAGGAAACTGTAATGTCTGAGGATTGCTGCAGATTTGGCTGAGAATTTGACGTTTGTTGCTGTTGAGCTCGAAAAATACCGTTTTCGGTTAAACCTCTGGGATAAGGCGGTTTGGGAGGAACTTTTGAGTCTGGTATTGACTCTGTAAGGGAAATCAGACAATCATCCGTTCTTGACTGATGTAATTCCATTGGAGTAAGAGGCTAAAGATAGAAAGAGTTTATTTAAATAATTTTACAAGTAAAAATAAAAAAAACATTTCCTTAAAATTCCCCCCTCCCAAAAGAAAATACATTAATAATGTTTATAGAAAATATAGTCTGACCTCTAAGCCTGCAATATGTTTTTTTGCACGTTGAAAGTGTGGATTTCACATTTATTTTATTTAAAACCTGTGCAAAATACAGGTGAACTTTGTGCGGAATTGCCCGCTAATTTTGAGGAACTGAAATCATGTAAAGAGACAAGAGTTGGACGGCTCTATTAACAAAAAAAAACAAATTTAAAAGCTTCCAAAACTTATAAATATCTCGTCTAATAGTAATAAACATAAATGAGACCTTAACGACAAATTTCGTTTATTATTAGATAACCACTAAGAATTAGTGGGGTAAAATCACCTTATATTTCCGTTTACATTAGATTAAACCAATCAGCGGTGTTCACAGATTTTGTTGAGCACCAGAGATCATTTAAAAGGTTAATTTGAACCAGAGAAGAAGAGGCAAATGGAATCAAGTAAAATGACAACTCAATTGAGTTGATGTTTCAACTTTTGAAGCCTACTTAATTTGTGATATCTTGAATTGGCAAATTGTACTCTCGTGCGAATACGTCATGCAATGTCTGCGTTTACTGCCTGTGTGAATAAATTATGTCAGAAGAAGTATTCCAAAAATTCTTTATATCTGAATGATAATCATGCAATTAAATAATGTCTTAAAATTTTAAATTGTAAAAAAATTTATTTTTTATCTATCATTTGGCATGAAATAAATAAATAATCATGTCAGTAAATTACGATGGTATTAGGGCCTCATGCGTCATGTATTTTAAAAAAGAATACAAAATCACTTTTAACATTCAATATAATAACACCTAGTGCAATATTTATAAAATTTTCATCAACTATTAAACATAATATTGAAAGCCTGTTAACAAAACGGGAGAATAGTTTCGAATATTTTTCTTGAAAAAATACACTATCAATTTTGAAAATAACACTGACGAACTTTTTGCTCGTTGAGATTTTCCTGATTTTGAATTTCTTTTCAAAAAAATTAAAGTGTCTTTAGAAAATGCTACTAAATTTTGAAAACAATTCAAATATTTCTATTGTTAAGGGATGTGTGGAAGCAAGGATTTTGAATTTAGAGAAAAAATAAAATGAATACATGAACTTACTTCAAACCATTTACTAACAAAACACTTGGAAGATCATTTATAAACTATACAAATGGCTTTAACTAACTTGTACATGAAGCATTCAGCTCTTCCCAAGCATTCGGCCAATCAGGTAATTGGGTTCAATGATATATCGACCAATCAAAATTCGACCTTATGGAAACAGGATGAGAAACGTAAAATACTGTGAAAACCGACCAAAAATTATATGTAACTATTCTTTTTTAAAATGCAAAAGTAATGAAACCGGATAAGGGCAATAAATTAGTACTTTGACATAACCTTAACCTCCATGAATCTGATGAACAAATGTTCAAACCTAATGAATAAATAGTGATAGCATTAATATAAAATTAATAGAATGCAGTATTCAATAATTGTTTTCATAATTACCCCAAGTGTTACTCTCCGTACACAAGACATGTTGAAAGGCTTCATAAATTACAGTTTAATGTCGGACTGTTTAACAATAAGATAAATGAGAAGATAGTCCGACGAATCTTCGTAATAGACGAGTCTTTTTAAAATCCTAATTTCAAGCTATATACTCAATTCTCATTAATTAAAGATTGATTTTCATATAATGTTTTATAAAACCAGTAAACGCAATCATGACAGGATTTTGAATTACCTAATGGTGAATTTCACAATATTTCAGTCAACGAATAGTTCATTCTATTCCATCTCAAGTAAATGACTTTTCCTTTTTTATGGAATGAAGCGACGAATTGAATTAGTAAGGCACACTTTGCAAAACATTCCACAGGGTCAAGGAGTTCTAAGGTCATTTCAATGAAAAGACTACGTCTCTCAACGCAATTAATTTGTCCATTTAGTTATCTACGCTGAATGCATATTGGTGATCACCGTTCAAACAAACACTGTCATTTTTGCCGCCTTTATCAAACCTAATGGAATAAAGGACGCTGTTTCATTCATAGTACTTAATTATATTAAGCAATTTTTTCTATAAATGCCAAACTTTTGCGGGAATTTGAAGATTCAGAGTCGGGAATGGAAGAACGCTTTCATCAATGCTAGCGAATTGTTATTTGATCAAGATGAAAGTAATTATACTGCACTGCCGATTACCTATAAATCATGCAAGATATTTGAAATTGGCGTCAACAAAGATTATTTGTCTAGGGAATGCGATTATATGACAGTCATTAACGCCATGAGGCCACATAGAAAGGTAATTAAAAACATTTCTACGGGATTAAAAATCGAATTTCGATTTAATTTTCTCTCTCCTTATATCACTTGAACAAACAGTCTATGCTAGGTCTAAAAAACTCATTTTTCTAGATATACGAAATTAAAAATACACTGGTATGGCAACGCGATAACAATTTGAAAAGATTTAAAATAAAAAGTTTCGAAAAATTTCAGATTTCGCTCCGAAGCGAAGCTTGTTCTCATGCTGATTCGAGTACTGTCATTTGAGGAAAAAATTTCAAAATTAACTTTTGGTAAAAAAATAAAAGAATAATTAATGGCAGAAATAAGAAAGCTTTACGGCCGATAAAATTTTATGTGCCCATGGCATAAACAAAGGTAGATTTTTAGTTCAAATTATATAATTATTTAAAAAAACATGAATTAAGGAAAGGAGAAGCACTGTAGCGCTTGGCAGCACCCGGAAACAGCCAATAATTCAATCAGAGGGCCACTAAATGCCAGGCATTTCCTGCAGTAAATGATTAAGGTAATGATTATGTATGGTCTAAAAATTTAAATAAATTTAGCATTTGGTTGCAGATAGAGCAAAATTCGTTCCTTTGATTTAAAGCCCATTTATTTAAAAGACTTATAATGTATTAAATTCTTGAAAATTTTATATTTGTCACTATGATTCTTGTAAAACGATCCGTTATTTGTATTAAAAACCTTTAAAATACTAAAGCCGTAAAATACTAAAGGAAAATATCTAAAATCTAAAATCTGGCAGTATTTTGAATGTGCTAGTTATTTGCCTTTCAGTGACGCTTATATTGATCAGGTATGAATAAAAAATTCAATACTTGCGGTAAAAATATTATCTTAAATTATTTTCGTTGAAAGTTGTTGAATTCGGTTCAGAAAACGTAAAAAATATAATAATATGTAGTCACTACCTATCTATGACGTCATCTTAAAGCAAAACACTTCTCAAATCAAATATTGACGTTGACTAAAGTTATTTCTATCTCAAATCTTCGTTTTCATTTGTTACTTTTTTAATTGAGTTGAAGTTGTAGAAAAATTAGGAAAAAGACATTGCCTTCCTCCACATTAGCAGTTTTTGATTGAAGATAAATTATCAAAACACAAATGCACTACTTAGAAGATCACTGTAACAAAGTCCAACTCGCTAATAATAATGAAATAAATTGGGCAAAGTTAGACCTTAATCATAAGTCTGAGTGAATCTTTTAATATAATTTACTAATTATGCAAAGAGTATAACAGTACATATTTAACGCTATAGCCAATAATCCATATTAATATGACAACTATTTGCGTTAATTAATTCAGTGCTGCTAGTGTGCTCTCAACTAAAGTCTAGCGAAGAGAAATAAGCAAAAGGATATTGATCAAACCTTTTGGATGTACTTCGGAGTGACCGCAGATATGAATTACTTAACAACTTGAACCACCTTTGGAAGCAAATCAAGACAAACTGAGAAGTCGCTGAAGCTGTCACTTCCATTCTTGCCAAAGCTGTAAGATAACAACTCCAAAGGTCAATTTCACTTCTCCACAGCTATTAGATGAGGTAGCGACAAGACTTAGTGAAATTGTCGTTGAATCAATTCTCAATTATGGCACATACGTCGTTAATGGCCCTGATTCACTAGATTCACTACATGCCTGCGAACTAATGCTGCATCTACAATAGTTTAAATACCAATCTATTAAATAATAATATGTGCCTTAATTGGACTCTGTCATACATAATTACAAAAGATGTTCCAGGTGTATGGTGAGAGGTGCGGTTGAAGAATAAATAAAGAATGAAGGAAATACACATCACTTTATAAATTTACTTATGGAAACATAATTTATGAACGAAATGTACAATGGTATTGATTTTCTAAATACAATATTAAAAATCTAAGAATAAACGGAAATAGTTGAGATAAGAAGCATGAAATCACAACTTTGTCATTAAATAGATAATGTAGATCCCGGAATATAAATAGTCAATTAATGCGTTGATTAAGAATATCATGAGAAGTGCATTATCTGATCAAGCACTTTCCTACTTACTTTCATACTTATGTAATGCAATAAATTGGTTCAGTCTTCTCCAACCAATCACAATCTGGACCAAACAAATTAAAACATCCCGAATCCTCCTTCGATCTGTTGCTAGGTTAGTCCTGTCTGGTTGCAACCCTCTTCATCTCCCCACCCCCAACTCCCCCTCTCCCTCCCCACTCCCACCCTCTTCCCACCCACCCACTATCTCTCACAAGTCTGAGCAAATACAGCCAACTCCTCAATAGGGTACTTGACCAAACAATGCAACATTGTGACCTCAAATCATAGGGGTATCTAATTCGGTTGAAACTTCTAAACTCGTGAATTTTAAAAAAGGATTGTCTATAAGTTGGAGTTCGAATTGCCCTTCAATTGTAGCCACATTCACTCCCCAAGATATCCAATTTCCACCTTCATTTGCAACCATCAAAGTAGGCTGCTAAGGAGAACAAAGCAAGTTTAGAGCCATGCCCAGTCCAACTTTTCGTTCAAACAGCTTGCCAGATTGAACTTGTTGCATTGTTCTCGCGTTGAGAGAGTC